CGCAGCCTGCCCCCTGCCGGCGCGCGGCGGCACGGCCGGGGCTCGGCGGGCGCGGGGTCAGCCGGGGCGAGCGGCGGGGCCGGTGGGGAGCCGGGCAAGGGGGAGAGGGGGCCGACCGGCCCGGGTGCTGCCCAGCGCGGAGACGGCGGCGCTTCCCGACCCTGGGCGGGGCGGACCGGCCCCAACTCTGCAGCACCTCGGCGGCGGGGCGAGGGGGGAGCCCCGGGGCAGCCGGAGACCACCGGCTCACTTTGTCCTGTTTTTCTCCACCCACAGCTGGACTCTGCACCTCGCTGCCCTGCGGAGCCCCGACCTTCCCCGCTCGCCAGCCGAACGCCGAAGCATCGGTGCACGGAAAAACGCTCACGGCAGGAGCACTGAGGGAGCGCCGGGGCACGGGGCCGCTGGCACGGCAGACAGCTGCCGAGGTTCGGCACCGCCACAGAGGCCGGCGGGCGCCCCGCTGGCGGACTCGCTGCCGGTTGCCCGCGGAGCTCCCCGTGCTCCCCAGAACCGGGCGCTCCCCAGACCGGCTCTGCAGCCCGCAGCTCCGACGGAGCCTCCGGCGGCGGCATCCACCGCCCGGTGCCTCCCTGTCGCCAGGCCCCTGCCCCCGGCCGCCGTCGTGCGGGGCAGTCCCACCACCTGGTCCCGTTGGCTCGGTAGCCCCGGCGGAGCGGTTCCGGCCCAGGAGGAGCCGCCGCCGGCCACGCATGGAGGCAACTGATCCAACCGACTCTCCCCGCCTCGGAAGGATGGATGTGAACGAGCTGCGAAGTGTAGTTACCAATAACAATAACAATAAATTATCGGGCTGTTGCTCAGTAGCGCAAACAAATGCTTCGTGAACCACGCGGAGCCTCCCCGTGCACAGCAGCCGCCCTACTGGGACCGGCCCGTCCACCGACCGGCTGAGCCCTAGCCCCGGGAAGGGACCCTGTTCGCCCGGCGGCCTCACGGAGCAGGTCACCGGGGCCGGCCAGAGCGGCTGATGGGGGAGGTGGAGCCGGCGGTATCCGGCAGAACGCGGTCGGAGGCCACGCCGCGTGAAAAGCGGCGAGCACCGAGCCGGTATTTTAATTAAGCAGGATCTCTTTGATACAGGCCGCCCGATGCTATCTCTGCGCTCTGTTCCCGTCACGGCAGCATTTGGGTAGGAAAATTGCTGAGAGGCGGATCAGGCAGAGCGCCGGGGCCGCGCCGAGAAGCCGGAAAGCCCCGGGGAGCAGCGGGTGCCGCGCGGCGCTGGGAGTCCCAGCCCCGCCACGATGCGGTGCCGCCGTGCGCCTTTTCGGGGGGCCTGGAGGAACGGGAGCCAATTTACTATGATTAAAGGCACAGGCGAGGAGGCGCCACGCATTTGCATGCGCCTTCATCTTCCCTAAATAGATTTTTGAGGGCAGCGCGGCAGACAGGCTCGGGCTTCGCATACCCTCCGCCGGCAGAGAGCCCGGCCGGGCGGCTTCAGGGCATGGAGATCTCGAGCTCCCTGCCCGCCCGAGGGAGCCGCAGAACCTGCGCCGGCACCAGGGCCCTGCGGGGTCGCGCTGCTCCGGCGCGGAGCCGTTCCGCCGCCCGGCCCCTGCTGCGGCTCCGCACTGTCCCCGCGGCTCCCGGGGACCCGCGCACGACGCGCAGTGCCTGCGCCTGGGATGGAGGCTGCGCATCGGCTTCACCAGGACCCCGGCTCTCGCTGCCCGCCCGCCCTGCTCTAGCAGGGCCCGTGTTACCGGCGCAGCCCTCTCCCTCACCCGCCTTGACCCGCACGGTCCAGCGGTCCGGGCAGGCGGCAGAGGCCCCGTGACAGCACTGGCGGACATCTGGCTCAGGCCCGGCTCGGTCCGAACAGAAGTGCTCTCGCTCCAGTCGCTCACTGTCCCGGGGCTCCCGGGGACAGGGACACGACGGGGCGAGCGGGCCGAGCCCTGTCTGGCAGCAGCGTGTCGCGCACATGTGCCCCCGCGGCGACCGATGCCAGGTGCGAGGCTGGGGGCAGAGTTTACCGCCAGCCTCTGACGGCTCCGCGGGTTTCCCAGCATGGGTGCTGGGGAGGGGTGGGAGGTGGTGTCTTTTCCCAGTTCAGGGCAAATACCTTCGTTTCACTGGGAAATTTAACCTCTCCTTGGAGCTGGATCCATTATACGGGTTTAATATCCGCTCTTTTACAGCTCAGTGTTGTAAAAGGCAGCAGCCAGGTCTGTGAACTCTGACATGTGCACCAGCGGGGGGATGCGGGGGGGACAGGACCTGCCGGCGCGGGGCACGCCTGCGAGCGCAGCCTTTCATCTGCGGTGCCTCTGCACCAGCCCCGCCGGCCGGAGCGGGACGGGGGCGGCTGCGGCCCCCAGCCGTGAGGCCCGCAAGAGCCCTCGGGGCCCCCGCCGAGGTCGCGGGGTTCGGCAGCCCCCGAGGCGCCCCCGGGGGTCTGGCAGGGCCCCACCGCTCCCGGGGAGCGGACTGGGCCGGCGCGGCAGAGGCCGTGCCCGCATCGGTGGCCTCCCCCGCGCCACCACACGGCAGGTGCCCAAGCAGCGCGGGCAGAGGCCGGGAGCCCGGGTGAGCGGGTCCGGGCGCTGCTTGTCCCGGGGCTGTCGCTGCCGGCGGGACGCGCTCCCGCAGAGACCAGCTCGGCAGAGCCGCGATTCCCGCGCTGGTGTGAGCGGTGCGGTGCGACGGAGGGACGGGAAAGGACGCGGCCACCCCGACTTTCCGCTTTTTCTCTCGAGAATTGTCAGGTGCGTGGAGCAACCCGGGAGGGGGTACTGGGCCAGGGCTGTCCGCGGGAAACGGCGAGCGCACAGCGCCGGGCGGGCGGCGCCGCGAAACGGGCGGGAACCATCCCGGCACCCGCGGGACCCGCCGCTCCCCGAGCAGCATCTCCCGCTCCCGGGGAGGGCGGGCTGCCCGTGCCAAGTTGCACTGGAGGCCGTCGGGCCGGGGCGGCGGCAGGAGCGCCCCGTTGGCGAGGGCGGTGGGTCTTCTAGCCGGGTGGAAGCGGGTTCCCGTCAGAGGGGCCAGCTCCTCGGAGGCGGAGGGAGCTGGCCGCTCCTCTGCTTTTCCGAGGGGCTGCGGAATCATTTTCTTAGGTTTAATCGAGGTACTTAAATACAACTCGATTTTGCGGGGGAAAAAAATTAAAACTAGAAATCGTTTCCTCCTGGTGCTGGGAGGCCTCTCCGTTACGACCAACGTGCCGAGGGGACCGCGGGCCGCGGCCGCCCTGACCCTTTCTCCACCCCACCGGGGCCTCCCAGAGCCCCGCGTGGGTCCGGTGTGGCGCGTGGGCCAGGCAAGACCCTGCAGACACCGCTTCGCCGTCGCGCCCTCCGCTCGCCCACGCAGGGCCGGCTTCTTGAAGAGAGACATGAAAAACAACGTGTTTGGGAGGAAGAGAAGAGAGGAGACGGCTCTGCCTGCAGACGGCGTCGCTCTTACGTAAAGATACGAACCGCAGGAGCTGCAGTTGGGGGTGACGGCGTTGCAGTGGCTGCTGGGGCTCTCCGAAGCTGCCTTTGTCAGTACAGAACGATCACGTAAAATGGGAAATATCAGAAGCCGCGCGAATATGCAGCGCTGCCCTGAGCGGAGCGCTCCGCTCTGGTTTGTATTAGCGATTATTGCGCTGTCATTGAGGAATGCAGGGGTGGAAGGATTTGCTTTGGAACTCCAAGTACACGCGGTACAAGAGAGAAGCGAAACGCTGCAGCTTGCGTGCCGCGCGGAAAGCGGGATAACGCTGAACAACCCCCAAGAGAGGCTGAGGGGAAGCCGGGGGAGGCCGCCCCACTTCTCCCACCCCACTCTACCAGTCGACTCGTCCCGAGGGCTGCTCCTGCCTCGCTCCCTCAAACCCTCCTGCTCCCCAGTACCACGCGCCTGGTAGCTTGTCATGCCGAGCGGTGTGTGATGCAATTCCCAGCATGGGATTCCTCACCTGCTGCCAGCTGATCGCTCGAGAGATGCACGCTAGGCTGCGGGCTCTCCTGGCAGCGTTTCCTTGTCCTCTCGCCTTTTCTTGCATGTCTGCCTTATCTGACATGTTGGGTGCTGGCAAGGCGAAACCTGAAGCAGCCCTTGGAAGGGTCCGGGAAGGGAGGGCTCCCATCGCCCCGCACCCGCTGCCCCCGCTGCTGCCCGCACTCCTGCCCCGTTCCGGGACACCGGCGGGCCTGGAGAAACATGGTTATTTTTTCTCTCCTACTATCAATAAGCCCAAATTATTGCTTACTATTTCTATTTATCTCGAAACGTAAATTTCAGCTGTGGCATTGGATTGACAAGGAATCCCTTCCCAAGGTGTTTTCCTGAAATAACCCCTCCGATTCCGCAGAACAGAGGTTATCACGGACAATAAACACTTTCACCCTCAGCCTCAGTTAGTCAAGGATAGATGAGCCCATCCTGCCCCCCCTCCCCGCACGGCAGACTCGATCCTCTCAAAGCGAGGAACCTGCATGGTTTTCTCTGGAGTCGCGGTGCCCGATTATGGCTCAGCTGAGGGGTTTTGGTGTCTCGTAGTTCCGCGTGTGAAAAACGGGGGGAAAGAGTCAGAGGGCGACAGAGCTGGGTC